TATAGACTATAGTGATAAAAATATAAATTATGAGCTGTAATGTTGTTCAGTTATTTGGCAGCCTGGCGTGTTAAAACTTATGACGCCACTGAACTGACCGAAATTAAATTTTTCCGTGTAGGTACAATATTAATTATTATATTTAAACATGACGTTGGKGGGCTTATAGCCGTCCCGGCGCTCTAGTCAAATATTATTCTTCATCCATACTGGCACGATAATAATATATTATATGCGACACAGGTTATAGACCCGAACCGGTTGTGTTTACACAACATCATACACATATAATTATAGTGAGTATATTTTGATGTTAATTCTGCTATACGAACTGGAAGAAGACGAATTTGTCGAGTTATCTTGYGCGTTTGTCTGTTTACAATATTATATTATATAAACCAGCTAAATGGTCATAAACTCATAACGCTTTCACCTGCAACTGAATTGCTTCTGATGCTAGAATAGCTTCCCGTTCAAGGTCGGTTTGATGTCCAAACACGACAGTGCGTCACAAATTTACAATTATTATAAGTCGTAGAAAATTCTCGGATGGCCTGTCCGTGCAGCACCTACTTCAGTTCAACCTATATCGGATATAAATAATAATTCAGATACAATTTACGCATTATATATTGTGCTCGACGCACGACGGCTTACACCAATGATATTGAARTTGATTAATTTAATTAGCTCGTCGCTGAATTTCCGTCTTTGCTTTTTAATCCAATCAGAAACGATCTTAAATTTCTGCCACTTTACTTATTATTATTCCTATATAATATTTTTCATWGTAGGACAGTATAGGTGACAATAAGTACCTATTGTGTCAAGGAAAACCACCTCTTATTAGTCATTTCAATGGAGTGATTTTCGCGTTGTCGCTTATTATATCATATATAATATAGTGTTTAGTGTGTGTAGAATACTAATGTGTATACTATCATCTATATAGGCACTAGGCTCTAATTTTAAACCAATATACCACAAACTACTAAAGTCTAAAACTAATAAAATCACTCGATATAATCGTATAGATAGAATAGTAAACGCGTCAGTACGATACCACAAGCACTAATAGGGTATTAGGGTGGTACCTAACCTGCAGGGGCGTCATTTGGAGGGTGGCAGCGAGTGCGGTTGCACATCGCACCCCTTACTTTTAGAATGTTACAATTGGCCTGCGCCTTGCTGAAGCCTAAAATAATGCACGAGCCACGAATGCACAATTATTTATATGATTAAAATCAAATTGTAATAACCGGTCTATATGGAAATAATTGAATGCAGGATAATATACATATACGTATGTATATCTATTTTTATATGGCCTGG